CTTGTGGATAAGATTAGAGAAAGAGTTCAGAAAAACTAGAATTATGAAGGTCTACTTTAAAATCTAAAGTATTTTGTTTGAATTGATCTAAAAATGAATACATAGATTGTAATTTTAGTAGTAGTAGATTTAGTGGTAGAGCTTTAACAATGAGTGATCAAATCATTAGAAGGAGTAAACATTTTAAATATCTCAGTTTTGTTGTTCAAAGTGACTGTGATATAGATGGGGATGTTATTAGTAGTATTCGAGTTGGATGGTTGAAGTGGAGGAATGCATTAGGCCTACTGTGTGATAGAAAAGTACCGCTTAGATTTAAAGGAAAATTTTATAAAATGGCGGTGAGACCTGCAATGCTTTATGTCGTAGAATGTTGGGCTTTAAAAGTGAAGCTTAAACTTAATTAAGTGTTGCTGAGATGAGAATGCTTAGGTGAATGAGTGGTTTTATGCTTAAGAGACAATGCGAAATGAATACATCTCTAAAAGGGTTGGTGTAGCTCCATTGGCAAACAACATTAGTGAGAGTCATTTTAGATGATTTGGTCATATTAAACATCGACCATCCGTTGATTAGATTCGACTTACGTTAAGAAATGTAGATAAAGACCTAAAAAGAACTTGCATAAAAAATTATTAAAATTTAATAGAATTAAATGAGAATATGACACTGAATAGGACACAATGGAGAAAAAAGATTCACGTAGGTTACCCTTGTTGTACAACAATCAAACAGATGTGGTTATAAATAACCACTACCTACTATCGAAATTTCTAAAAGTGGTGATAAAAATCCATAGCTTAGCGAAAATGTGGTAGCTATAAGAAAATCAAAATTATGAAAAAATTTCATCGAATCGACCCATTGTCTCATTAGTCGAGGTTTACCGGCTTGTAACACGGGTTATGCTTGTGTTTTTCTCTTTTTGCAGGTAGTTGAAGAGGGAGAGGAGCCAGAGGAGTTTCTAACTCATCTCTTTTCTTTTCAACAAATAATAGAAAGCAGAAACGGATGAGGTGATTGAGAAGCCAATAACTGTGGTTAAGTTAGATTGTGACTATAGTTCTGGTATGTATGATATTCCATTGAAATATATTGTATCATCATGTATTTAACCCTATAAGTTGAAGATAGGAATTTTCTTTTTTAATTCGTTCAATAAAATAACAGTGGCTTATCAATACCTGTTTTTCTTTCAAAAGAAGGGAAATAATTAAACTTGTGCTGTGTTTTTACTCATCCATCCATCCATATTGCAATAATCATTATGTTCTAATATATTTTATTTTTTTCATATTTTCTTTGATATATCTTCTTTGTTTCTTAATTATATTTTTGTTAAACTAGATTATGTATTTTATAATGCATCTTTTATCTTTGTTGCTTATATTCAAAATCATTTAAATTTATCATTGATTGTATTTATATTTCTAAAATCAATTTTTTATTTTTATTTTTACATTAAATCACTCAAATCTTTCGTATTACATGAAATATACCGTCATTTTAACTTTTAGAAAGTGAAACACATGAAGCGACGTGTCAAAATTGAAGTTTAGTTCTTAGATATGTAAATACATGGGAATTGAGAGGTATGTATGTAAATTTTCTATATTAAATTAAATTGTATTTTATAATTTATAATTTATTTATTTTTTTTTATAGTTAAATCACTTAATGGGATGAAAGCTTGTTGATGTATATTTATAAAACAAAAAGTTTGTTTTATTATAGTTTTATACATTTTATCAAGAGCCTATGGTGATACCATCTCATTATGTGATAATTTTAAGACATTTATTCTAATCATCAAACCATAGATTTATGTGCTTATTATCATTTAATTATTATTTTATATATAATATATTTATTTATTTTCTTAGTTTGATGATATGATGTTTATATGGCCGCCAACTATTTTAATCAATGGAACCAACATTTTAAAAGCTGGATCGAACTGGCTGTTTCAACCGGTTCGAATGTGAATCGGCTGGTGGTTTGATTCTGATTGGGCTGAAAATTGGTTCCGCACCAAACCTAAAAGAACCGGCTGGAACCGACGATTGAATCGATCAATCGGTTAGAATCGACAATCGAACCAATCAACTGATTAAAGTATAATTTTTTATATTATGTCACATTTTTATTAGAAATTATGAAGAATAGTTTGAATTTTTTAATATCAAGAAATCACGTCTTGCTCTAAAATCATTCACAACTTCATTTTCTTTTTAGCTTTTGGGAAATATGCACGTCTATTTGTTTATTACTTTTTATTTTTTAAGCTTTTATATTTTTCTTTGTTATATTTCCCTCTTGTTGACTTTTGCTAAAATTTTATGTCATCTAAGCTTTATTTAATTTTTTTTTTATATACTCATGACACCTGA